CTCAAAATGGATTAAAGACCTAAATGTAAGGCCAGACAGTATCAAACCCTTAGAGGAAAACATAGGCAGAACACTCTATGACATAAATCACAGCAAGATCCTTTTTGACCCACCTGCTAGGAAAATGGAAATAAAAACAAAAATAAACAAATGGGAGCTAATGAAACTTAAAAGCTTTTGCACAGCATAGGAAACTATAAACAAGATGAAAAGACAACCCTCAGATGAAAAGACAACCCTTAGAATGGGAGAAAATATTTTCAAATGAGGCAACTGACAAAGGATTAATCTCCAAAATGTACAAGCAGCTCATGCAGCTCAATATTAAAAAAACAAACAACCCAATCCAAAAATGGGCAGAAGACCTAAATAGACATTTCTCCAAAGAAGATACACAGATCGCCAACAAACATATGAAAGAATGCTCAACATCATTAATCATTAGAGAAATGCAAATCAAAACTACAATGAGATATCATCTCACACCAGTCAGAATGGCCATCATCAAAAAATCTACAAACAATAAATGCTGGAGAGGGTGTGGAGAAAAGGGAACCCTCTTGCACTGTTGGTGGGAATGTAAATTGATACATCCACTATGGAGAACAGTATGGAGGTTCCTTAAAAAACTAAAAATAGAAGTACCATACGACCCAGCAATCCCACTACTGGGCATATACCCTGAGAAAACCATAATTCAAAAAGAGTCATGTACCAAAATGTTCACTGCAGCTCTATTTACAATAGCCAGGACATGGAAGCAACCTAAGTGTCCATCAGCAGATAAATGGATAAAGAAGATGTGGCACATATGTACAATGGTATATTACTCAGCCCTAAGAAGAAACGAAATTGAGTTATTTGTAGTGAGATGGATGGACCTAGAGTCTGTCATACAGAGTGAAGTAAGTCAGAAGAAAAACAAATACTGTATGCTAACACATATATATGGAATCCAGGAAAAAAAAAAAAGGTCATGAAGAACCTATGGGCCAGACGGGAATAAAGACACAGACCTACTAGAAAATGGACTTGAGGATATGGGGAGGGGGAAGGGTAAGCTGAGACAAAGTGAGAGAGTGACATGGATATATATACACTACCAAACATAAAACACATAGCTAGTGGGAAGCAGCCACATAGCACAGAGAGATCAGTTCGGTGCTTTTTGACCACCTAGAGGGGTGGGGTAGGGAGGGTGGGAAGGAGGGAGATGCAAGAGGAAAGAGATATGGGAACATATGTATAACTGATTCACTGTTATAAAGCAGAAACTAACACAGCATTGTAAAGCAATTATACTCCAATAAAGATGCTTAAAAAAAAAAAAAAAGCTTATCAGACAGACTGCAAGTGAAGGAGAATGACATTATTAAAGACAGCCTTGCTTAATATTTTACTCTGAGTTATATAATGTTTGACATAATTAAAATAAATTAAAAAATGTTAAGCCCTAAAAAAACTGGAAAGCAAAATTTAAAAAACGAATCCAACTTTGTATTAAATTGGTGATAGGATGACACCAAGAGAAAATTTTTTCAGATGAATTTTAAAATATGCTAATTTGAATGCACATCCAAAATGAAATACATCCTAATGAAAAAATTAACTGAAGAAAAAACTTCTCAGTTGTTATTAATACTACTGGCACTGTTATTCTGAACCTTTTTATATATACATACAAATACAGATGGCATAAAGAAAATAGGTAATTATGTTAATGTTGATAGAAACCAAGACTTTCAGCTGAAAAGATACAAATGCTTAACTTCAAATATAAAGCCCTTTTATCCTAAATTTGAGTATTAATATGAATTCATGTTGCATTTTCTCTTCAAAAATAAAAGAAACAAATAAAAACGTATTTCTTAGCTCTGAAAAGTCCTAGAAGTAAAGAAGAATCAGTTATGACTGAGCACTCTGAGCCATCAGATAATGGTTTCTAAATACGATTTCTCACCAAAAGCACTCAGGACTTCTCGAAAAAATGGCTGATTCCAAGTCTGAAGCAGGAAATGTACAAGATGAGTCTGAAACATCTTGTCATACTAGAAAGCAAGGAAGCTATGAAAGATGAAGAGAGTCACATCAAAAGGACTTAGGAGACAGCCTGAAGTGGCTTCCAATGGCTAAAGATGGGATAATCTGAGCATCAATAATAACTGCAGTGAACTTTAGCATCAAATATGTTAAATATGTGTTTGTAATAATACTTGAAAAAAGAAAAAAAAAAGGAAAGAAACCTCACTAGTTACCTTTTTAGGATGCCAGGGAATCAACACATTATTCTGAAAAAGTGTAAATGATGGGGAAAAAACAATCAAGCATTCAACATACCTTCATGTCAAAATATACCACTCTATACTAAAACATTAAAGGAACAAATAAAAGGTACGTACCTTATATCTTTTTAATTTCTGTACTTCTTCTTCAATAAGCATCTGATTTTTGGCAACCTCTGACTGAATAGCACTTAACATGTTATTACCCTGATCTGTATCCATGGGTTCCTCCTTAGGGGAAAGAAAAAGAAATAACACACCCTAATGACTGAGGCTTAAGTCTAAACTATTTTTAAATGATAAACATAGTACAATCATTTTCAAATTTTATTCTTAATATTGGTGATGGAATACCAGCTTACTAACTGCAATATTAAAGGATAAAAGCTAGGTAGTATCTTCCAATTTTCTATGTTCTACAACAATACATATGAATTTTAATCTAAAAATAATCTATACTGTAGCAAACTGAATTGCTATAATCTGCTGTTGAGCTATAAAGTAAATCTGCTTAAATATACTCATGAAAATGTGATCAAAGGAACGTAAAAAAGTCTTTGTCTATTACTAATTCTCTTCTCCAATCATATTTACTAGAAAGATAATCATCATAAGGAATAGTAAAGATTACATGTGAATCTAAACGTGCCCAATTAATTCTGTAAGAAATATATTCTAACTTGCTTAATTATATAATGAAATTACAGTAAATTGTTCACACTTATTTAGCACATACTATTTGTCACTTTTTTTTAAGTGGTTTATATATATGTTATCTCAGTTATTCTTCACAACCACCTTTTAAGGTAAATACTATTATCCCTACTTTACATGAAGAAACTGAGGCACAAAGAAATACACTCAAATCATACTTCCACTAAGTGGCAAAGGCAGGAGCTGAATCTAAGAAGCCTGACTCCAGAGTATATTCTTATAATCACCACTCAGGATACTTGATTAAATCTATATTTCAGACAAAGAAAGAAAGAAGGAAAAAAGGAAAAAAGAAAATAAATGGTTTCCCTGAGAGAATAACTAAGCTAGAACTTTGTACATAAAAACATGGCCACAAACCTCAGCAAGTTGTCTTTGTAACTCTGCTATCTTCTGTTCATATATCATTTTTCTGTCAGACACAATGGCCATTAAGTTAAATCGAATTTCACCTTCACTGTACCTAAAAAAAAATTAAAGTTTATAATGTAGTAAAGAAATGTAACACTATTACAATTAAGATAATCTATTGTGATTACCCCCTTATTCTCTGGGGTAAACACAGATCTACCAATTGGATAACCATAAAAACTGACATTAAAAAAAAATCTTTCCTAAAGAGGAGAAGTTACAACCAGTATCACAAAAATACAAACAATCATAAGAGAATACTATGAAAAATGATACACCAATAAATTCAGCAACCTAGAAGAAATGGATAATTTCCTAGAAACAGTCTTCCAAGACTGAATCAGGAAGAAACAGAAAATCTGAACAGGCTGATTATTAGTAATGTAATTGAATCAGTGAACAAAAAAATCCCAACAACCAAAACTCCAGGATCAGAGGACTGCACAGGGTAATTCTACCAAACATTTAAAGAGGAGTTAATTCCTTTATTTCTCAAACTATTCCAAAAAACTGAAGAGGAGGGAATACTTCCAAACTCATTCTATGAGTCCAGCATTACCCTGATACAAAAAACAAAGACACTACAGAAAAAGAAAATTACAGACCAATATCCCTGATGAACACAGATAAAAATCCCCAATAAAATATTAGCAAACAGAATTCAACAATACATTAAAAGGACTGCACATAATGATCAAGTGGGATTTATTCCAGGGATGCAAAGATGGTTCAATACACACAAATCAATCAACGTTATAACTGTATCAGCAAAACAATGGACAGAGATCACATGACCATCTTAATAGAGGCAGAAAAAGTATTTGACAAAATTCAACATCCATTCATGATAAAAACTCTTAACAAACTTGGTATAGACAGAACAATCTCAACATAATAAGGGTCATTTAAGCCAAACCCACAGCTAACATCATACTCAACAGTGAAAAGCTAAAAGCTTTTCCTTTAAGATCAGTAACAAGACAAGGATGCCCACTCTCACCACTTTTATTCAACATAGTATTAGAAGTCCTAGCCACAGCAATCATACAAAAAAAATAAAAGAAATAAAAGGCACCCAAATTGGAAGGGAAAAAGTAAAACTCACTATTTGCAGATGACATGATATTAAATACAAAAAAATCCTAAAAATCCTACCAAAAAAACTATTAGAACTAATAAGTGAATTCACTAAAGTTATAGCATACAAAATCAAAATACAGAAATCTGTTGCAGTTCTGTACACTAATAATGAACTATCAGAAAGAGAAATCAAGAAAACAATTCCATTTACAACTGCATCAAAAAGAATAAAATACCTAGGAATAAAGTTAAACAAGGAGATGAAAGACCTGTACTCTGAAAACTGTAAGATATTGATGAAAAAACTGAAGACAACACAAATAGAAAGATATACCATGCTCATGGATTGGAAGAATTAATACTGTTAAAATGTCCATACCACCCAAAGCAGCCTACAGATTCAATAATCCCTATTTTTACAGAACTAGAACAAATACTCCTAAAATTTGTATGAAACCACAAAAGACCCCAAATAGCTAAAGCAATCTTGGGAAAGAAAGAGCTGAAGGTATCATGCTCCCTGACTTCAAACTATACTATAAAGCCAAAATAATCAAAACAGTATGGTACTGGCACAAAAACACACATATAGATCAGTGGAACAGAATAGAGTCCAGAAATAAACCCACAAAACGCACAGTCAATTAATCTACAACAAAGGAGGCAAGAATATACAATGGGGAAAAGCCTCTTCAATAAGTGTTGTTGGCAAAACTGGACAGCTACATGTAAAAGAATGAAACTAAACCATTTTCTCACACCATATATAAAAATAAACTCAAAATGGATTACTGACTTAAATGTTAGACCTGAAACCATAAAACTCCTAGAAGAAACATAGGCAGTAGCTCTTTCACATTGGTCTTAGCAATAATTTTTGGATCTGTCCCCTCGAGCAAGGGAAACAAAATAAAAAATAAACAAATGGACTACATCAAACTAAAAAGCTTTTGCACAGCAAAGGAAAGCACCAACAAAATGAAAAGGCTGCCTACTGAATGGGAGAAGATATTTACAAATGATATATCTGAAAACGGGTTAATATCCAAAATATATAAAGAGCTCACAATCCAGCAATTTCACTTCCAGGTATTTTTCCAAAGAAAACAAAAACACTAATTTGAAAAGATGTATGTGCCCCAATGTTCATAGCAGTATTATTTACAATAGCCGAGATATGAAAGCAACCTAAGTGTCCATTGACTGACGAATGGATAAAAAAGATGTTTTATACACACACAATGGAATATTACTTAGCCATATAAAAGAAGGAAATCTTGCCATCTGCAACAACATGGATGAACCTAGAGGGTATTATGCTAAGTGAAATAAGTAAGACAGAGAAAAACAAATATTATATGATTTCACTATAAAAAACAAAACAAATACAACCAAACAGAAACAAACTCAAACAAATTCAGATATAGAGAACAAACTAGTAGTTGAGCGGGGAATTGGCAGGGTAGGTGAAATAGGTGAAGGGGATTAAGAGGTATAAACTACCATTTATAAAATAAATAAACAGGGATGTAACATTTAGCACAAGGAATATAGTCAATAATATTGTTATAACTTTGTATGATGCATAATCTATAAAAATATGTTGTACACCTGAAACTAATACACTATTAGAAGTCAACTATACTTCAATATAAATTTATTTATTAATACTTTTGTCTATAGACAAATAAATAAGCTTTCATATATGAAAGGAAAAAATCAGCTAAATTTCCATCAATCACAAATATATTATTAAATATTTTAGTACCTCTAGACATTTGAAATAATGTGTTTTCATCAGTTCTCATACTTTCACAAAAAATATGGTAACTATCAACTACCTTTTATCTCAATTAGAAAAAATAATTAAACTAACACCTCACATTTGTTGAATTAATTTTACTGGCATCTTGACGGTATTAACTATATTCGTTACTATATAATTTTTTCCAAATCATGATTTTGTTTCTATTCTTAACTAATATATGTTTTACATTTCACTTGTACTTTTATCATATACAAACATATAAATATTTATGTAATATGTTACAAATAATCTCTTGTAAAGTTTCTGAATACTGTTTTATTTTCACTACTCTGATACCAATGAAACATCTTATAGTATAAGCTTGTTTATGGTAAGGATTGACATTGGAAAGATTATCCATAACATTATGTAAATGGCACTTAACCAGATGAAAACATGTAGAAAATGTAAGCCTGTTTTTGTATTAGTTCACCTGCAAAAGCTTCTCATAAATAGTTCTATTCACTGGAAAGAATATGGCCCAGTATAACTGTAGCACTTTGAACTATGTAAAAATGCTGTTTTTAAAACTCTGCTTATGGGACTTCGATTTCCCTATTCCTCCCAGTAAAAAATATCAAACTAAAAAAATCTAGACATATATTTTTTAAAAAATGAAAAAAATTAAAATTCTGAAGTGAAGAGAAGGCAGACATGCTAGGGAACCAGGACCCAAGAATGACACTGGTGAAGTCTCTGGATTATCATTCTGCTGCGTATGTCCTGGCCTTGGAGTTAAAGAAGCCATCAATTGACAAATGCCAACAGGCACAGACAAAAAAAGCACCAACAGTCTGCTCTTTCTATCCAAACAGGAAAGGGGCAACCTCATGAGAAAACTTTGAGACAATAACCACTCTACCATACCCAAACACAACTGAAAAAACTGGCCCAAACCCTACCGGCCAGCAAAGGCTGGGTAGGGAGCCTGGACTTCCACCCTCACCAGGCTGTAACAGGCACCTGGGGTGGTGTCAGAAAAGGAGCTAGGGAGCTAGGTGTAGGGAGCTAGGACTTTCATCCCTGCAAACAGTAATGACATCTATTTGCAGTGTCAGAGGAAACCAAGTGGGAAGCCAAATGCGAAGTCACTACCATCCAGGAGTAAAGAAGCCCCCCTCCCAACTTTGGTATCAGTGGAGCCATGTAGAGAGCAGTCACAAGGCACTGCTACTCCTCCCGGCCAGGGTAGTATCAGGGGAAGCCCTACTGGGGACCAGAACTCCCAACCCCTGCCCAGCAGTAACAAGGAACCCCTTCCCACCTCAGGTGTCAATGAAGACAGAGTGGGGAACCTGGACTTCTACTTCCACCTGGCAGTAATGGGGTAGCATCCCTGATTTACCCTGCCAGAACAGTGCCCATAAAAACCAGCTAAAAGAGAAGTTTTAAATAAGATCCAGAGTCTTATAATATAGTACTGAAAATGCCCAGGTTTCAATCAATAATCACTTGTCCTATTAAAAATCATGAAAACCTCAATTTGAATGAGAGACATTCAACAGACAGAGTGATGACAGATGTCCAAATTCACTGACAGAGACTTTAAAACAGCCATCATAAAAATGATCCAATGAACAATTATGAACACACTGGAAACAAAAAATAGAAAGTCTCGGGCTTCCCTGGTGGCGCAGTGGTTGAGAGTCCGCCTGCCGATGCAGGGGACACGGGTTCGTGCCCCGGTCCGGGAAGATCCCACATACCATGGAGCAGCTGGGCCCGTGAGCCATGGCCGCTGAGCCTGCGCGTCCGGAGCCTGTGCTCCGCAACAGGAGAGGCCACAACAGTGAGAGGCCCGTGTACCGCAAAAAAAAAAAAAAAAGTCTCAGCAAAGAAATAGAAGATATAAAGAAGAAACAAATGGAAATTTTACAACTGAAATATAAAATGATAAAAAAGCTGAATGGGTGAGTTCAACAGCAGAATGGAGGAGACAGAGGAAAGAATCAGTGAACTGAAAAGTAGAACAACAGAAATTACCCAACTGAACAAAGAAAACAGACTAAGAAAAATAAAGAGAGCCCCAGGGACCTGTGGGACTAAAGCAGGAGACATTTGTGTCATTGGAGTCCTGGAAGAGGTGAGAAAGAGGGTGAGATTAAAAAAGTTCTCCAAGTTATAATGGCTAAAAACTTCCCATATTTGACAAGATATAAATGCACAGATTCAAGAAGCTGAGCAAAATCCAAATAGAATAAATGGACAGAAATCCACACCAAGACACATCATCCTCAAATATATGAAAACTAAAACCAAACCAAAAAGAAAAAGGATTTGAAACCAACAACAGGAGAAACACCACCATATCTATAGGGCAAAAACTGTTTGAACAACAGTGGATTTATCAGTAGAAACCATGGAGGCCAGAAGGGAATGACATAACAATTTTCAGGTGCTAAAAGAAAAGACTATCAACACGGAATTCTATACACAGTGAAAATAACCTTCAGAAATAAAAGGGAAATCAAGACATTCTTAGATGAAGAAAAACTAGGATTCTGTTGACAGCAGAACTACCCTAAAGGAATGGCTAAATGAAGTTTTCTAGACAGGAAACGATAAAAGAATTGAGTTCTGGAACATGAAGAAGAAAGAACAATGGAAAAAGTAAAAATATGGGTAAATACATTTTCCTTCTCTTAAGTTTTTAAAATTATGCTTCATAGTTAAAACAAGAATTATAATACTGTCTGATGGAGTCCTAAATGTATGTAGAGGAATTATTTAAGACAATTATAACAATGGACAGTAAAAGTACATAAAAGAAGGTAAGATTTCTACACTTCACTCAAACTGGTAAAATGTTAACACCAGTAGATTGGGATAAATTAGAGAAACCATTAGAAAAGCCATACAAGGAAATAAACTCAAAACCACTATAGATGTCTGAGTAACTCACAGAAAAACAGGAAAAGAAAAGCAGAGAAACAAACAAAAAAACAGAACAAAGAGAAAAAATTTAAATGGCAGATTTAAACCATAAGACATTAATAATTACATATTAAATATACGTTTCATGTTATACGTAATTTTATAAATCCATTACATTCAATGTAAATGGTCTCAATCCACCCAGTAAGACAGAAAATGGCAGAGTGGACTAAAAAATATGATTCAATATATGCTGCCTATATGAAATTCACTTCAAATACAATGACATAGGTAGGCTGAAAGTAAAAGGATGGAAAAAATATATCATGCATATATGAATCAAGACAAAGCAGAAGTGGTTATATTACTGTGAAATAAAGTAAACTTCAGAGCAAAGAAAATTACTAGAGAGAAATATTGCATAATGATAAAAAGGTCAATCCACTAAGAAGAAATAGTGATCATAAATGTTTATGCAACGAACAAGAGACCTGCAGAATATGTAAGGGAAAAACTGATAAAACTTAAATTAGAAATAGCCAAATTCAAAACTGTGCCTATTTACAAATGACATGACCATCTATCAATATGTAGGAAATGTCAAGGAATTCACAAAACTTCTAAAGCTGGTGGGTGAGTTTAGCAAGATTGAAGGATACAAGACAAAGAAAGAAAAAAAATCAACCTTATTTCTACACACTAACAATGATCACATGGAACAAAAAAGAAAATATAGTATCATTTGTAATCACTCAAAAGAATATGAAGTGCTTGGGTAAAAATCTGACAAAATACATATGGAACTAGCATGCGGAAAACTACAAAATGCTGATGAAAGAAATTAAAGAAGATCCAAGTAAATGGATAGACATACCATGTTCATGGATTGGAAAAATCAATATAGTAAAAATGCCAATTCTCCTAAAATTGATGTTTGACACAATTCCTATCAAAATCCCAAAAAGAATTTTTGTAGATACAAGATTATACGAAAATTTACATAGAGGGCAGAGTATCTATAATAGCTAAAACAATTCTGAAGAAAAAGAATAAAGTCGGGGGCATCAGTCTACCTGATTTCAAGACTTACAATACAGCCACAGTCATCAAGACTCTGTAGTACTTGCAGACAGCAGACAAACAGATCAATGGAACAGAACAGTGAACCAGAAATAGACCCACACAAATATGCCCCACTGGATTTTTTTTTTTACAAGGGTGCAGCAGCAGTTCAGAGGAGGAAGGATAGCCTTTTTAACGGTGATAGACCAATTGGACAGAGGAAAAAAAAAATGAACCTTGACTTAACTTCACACCACACAAAAATTAATTCAAAATAGATCATAAACTTAAATGTAAAATGTTATATAAACCTTTTAGAAGAAAAGGAGAAAATCTTTGGGATCTAGGGCTAGGCAAAGAATTCTTAGATTGGACAACAAAAATACAACTCACAGTGGGAAAGATTGACAAATTGGACTTCACTGGAATTAAGAGCTTTTGCTCTGTGAAAAACCATGTTGGGAGGAGGAGAGGATGGGCTATAGACTGGGAGAGAATATTTTCAGGCAACGTGTCTGACAAAGGACTAGTGATAGCTAGAGTATGTAAAGAACTTCAAGGCTTGGGGCTTCCCTGGTGGCGCAGTGGTTGGGAGTCCGCCTGCCAATGCAGGGGACACGGGTTCGTGCCCCGGTCCGGGAAGATTCCCACATGCCGCAGAGCGGCTGGGCCCGTGAGCCATGGCCACTGAGCCTGCATGTCCGGAGACTGTGCTCCGCAACAGGAGAGGCCACAACAGTGAGAGGCCTGAACTTCAAGGCTCAAGAGTCAAAAAAACAATCCAATTACAAAATAAACAAAAGGCATGGTTTTCAACATTAGTCGCTAGGGAAATGCAGATTAAAACCACAATGAAATATCACTATCCACCTATCATTTAAACAATGATAAAATAAACGTTTAAAAACGAGAACATTAGTTATGCCAATAAGATTAGCTGAGCATTTACTTTTGTATCCTTTTTTCTATGACTGGCCTCACTGCGCTGATCCAATCATCTTGATTGCATGCACCTAGGAAGAAATGTAAAAGCATTTATGTCAAATAAAATCAACATTAATATTATTTCAAAAGTTTGGTCCAAAATATCTTTTTACTAATATTTTGACAAATTCAGGATAGTAAAAAACCTTTTAGCATAACTATGTTAAGCTCCAACTCTTACTTTCTTAGTAATGGTAAGGGGAAACAGTATTATCATAATTTGCATTTCCACATTGTTGCGTCACTTAGTGGTGCTAAACAAATGTTTGAGAAAATAATGAACTAGGGAATTATTTCATTAAAACTCACGACTCTGTGAGATAAGGATAACTACCTTCATTTTACAGATGATGAGACAGAGGGCTAAGAAAAACCAGCTCACATATTAGTAACAAAATAAGGATTCAATCCTTTTCTGACTCCCCACCATCATAACTACAGAAAAAGAAAATGAAATCCACACACAATGCAAAACCAATTTTACCCAGTTTTTTAATCCTCTTTTTTACCTAAATTTTAGTATAGCCACCAGTTGTATAGCAAAACTGGCTGTTCTGTTTTATATTTTACTTCCTTTATATCTCATGGATCTAATGAATAGAGAATGGCTGTCCAGATAGAAGCCAAGAGAAAAAAATGCAGCGATCAGATCAACCCCCAAACCAGAGAAAATCAGCTTCTACAGAATTAAAAGAACATTCCATTAATTTTCTTTAAGAAACATAGAAAAATAAATATTTTTAAACATGTAAATCTGCATTAGATGAAGTATTAGTTCTAGACATGGGCAAGGTCAATAAGAACAAGCAAAATGAATGTGTTAATTTTTTTTTTTAATCTGAAAGTATAAAGTTTTATGGACAGCAGATAACATTAGATTCCATTAAAACAGGTTACACTGCACTTAAACCTAATTTAAAAAAAAGAAAACTTAATGAGGTAAAAATAAGGAGTTAAAATTCTTTTGTGGATCTATTAGTTCATTACTAGATCAGAACCACCTCATCCTCAATAACCATTTATCATTAGCTCAAGGTAGGAGATGGGGTGGGATCAGGACAAATCCACCCTTTGGCACAAAGGACAACACATTAATGCACTAGTTACATAGAAAAAAGTAGTTTTTAAAAGTTAACTGAAAAATTAAAAATAAATTATGTAATCTATGGGTTAAAAAAACTTTTCCTGTAGGAAAAAAACTAAAGGTCCCAATGCAACTACAGTAGTCAACATGTCCTAACTACCTGTTACTTAATTTCATAAAGTAATGAAGAGCTTAAAGCCTGCATGGCATCACACCTCACAGTCACCTCCCCTTTCTAAACTTAAGCAGGACTAGGGCTAAACCAAAGGTGAACACCCAATCTTTTTTTCCTTATCAAAAGTGAAATACCAGGAATAGTAAACACATTACCTAAATCAATTGGTCCTTCTCTTAATCCATCTAATTCATACAGTCTTCCATTAACAGGAACATAACTGACAAAGTGAAAAGCATCTTCTTCTTTTGCTGATGTCTTTGCGTCAAATTCAAACATTTGCTGTCTACAGTGAAGAAAAAAACAGTGAGAGACAAAAAAACAGAGACAGCATTTATTTCACATAAAGTATCTTTACCTGGCGAAACTGTTGTGTACTTGTCGAATCACATCCGAATTACTCAGTGCCAAACCTTTCATCTGAAATAAGTTTTAAGAACAGCCTATTAAAATAAGAACCACCACAAACAGGGCATTTTAGGAATAATACGACTGTACTCACAGCTGCATCAAAGCTTTGTGAAAATTCTTTAAACTCTGATAATGTGTCTCCTAAATGGACATCTTGATGGGTACAGTTCAATAACACACTTACTATGGCTTGAGTAGCACAAGCATTATTAATTACCTACAAAATATGAAAGCAAAAATATTATCGATTTGTTAAAAGAAACAGCTTTTAACTGGTGATGATGACCCCCAAAATATGAAAAAAATAGTTTCCAAATTTTATTTTATATAGTCTTAGCATAAACATAATTAACATGATCAATTCCCAATCTAATCTATTTTCAGGAATTTGCCGCAATTCTGGAGCTGAAGATTCTAGGAAATCGAATAAATTAAATGAACTCATAATATCAGTGAAAACCAATCCAGTTAGGGTAACAAAACCAATCTTTCCTGGTCTAAAACATACATCTAATTAAACCAAAAGAGCTTGCCCTTCCCTCTTATTCACTTCCTCCTATGCTCATTTCTACCTATAAATATTCAACCCATATTTCAGTATCCAACGCAAGCTCCAACTCACCGATGTGGCTCTTAGAGAACTTATCCAACAACTCATATTACTTTCTTCCCTCACTTGAATTCCTAAAAACGTGTATATACTGTCTACATATTTTTCAATTCAATCTTTACAGCGCTGTCATCTAGCTATTAACTGTTTATTTAACAAGTTATGTGGACCTTACGTTCTAGTGAGAGGAGAGAACATTTAGATAGCATCTACTACGTGTGGGTAATTTTCTAGGCACTTCATATGTATTAATTCTTTTTTTTTTTTTGCGGTATGCAGGCCTCTCACTGTTGTGGCCTCTCCCGTTGCAGAGCACAGGCTCCGGACGCGCAGGCCCAGCGGCCATGGCTCACGGGCCCAGCCGCTCCGCGGCATGTGGGATCTTCCCGGACCGGGGCACGAACCCGTGTCCCCTGCATCGGCAGGCGAACTCTCAACCACTGCGCCACCAGGGAAGCCCTGTATTAATTCTTTTAATCCTACCAATCAACAGCCTATGAAGAAGGAGTAATATTATTATCCTCATTTTACATTTGTGGAAGCTGAGGCACAAAGAGGTTAAGTAGCTTGCCCAAAGGGCACAGAGCTAAGCAAGAGGCAGGTGATCTGGTTCTAGAATTTTGTGTACTTAGCCACAACATGAGGCTGGCTCTGTACACGTATGTGGTCTCTCCAACAAGATTATAACCTACTTATGGACAAGGGCTTCTGCCATACTCCCTACAGCACCTACACAGGGCTGAGATCACAGAGGTGGAAAGAGCCTCAGGTGATCACTTCGAACACCAGCAAGGTTAACTGTAGAGTTAAATTAAACTTGATAAATGATTTTTTATAATACAGTTTAGTCCTATTGCTATATTTCATTACAATATTATAATTAAATACCATTTTCCAAAAATGCTAATTCACTTATGATCTTACAATTTGGTAAATTATTTCTATCTTGACTGATTTCAAAAGAAAATTTTTCTATTATCTTCCCTCATTAACTCTTATACTCCTGTACTTTTTTTTGCCAGACTTTTGAAGTCTTGTGAGTACCCACCAGTTCTTACATTTTTGACTGCAGTATGTTTGAGGAATTCCTTGATAAGGCTGCTTTCTCCATTAGAGAACACTGTCTTACTCCCAATTCTCAAACAGTGATACCACCACATTCTTGTAATTCCTCTTACAGTATTTTGTACTCAAAACTATCTTATGATTGACCGATTAAGGAAAAGTAACAGGAGATCTAGAATCCAATTAACATTGCTGCTGATTTCTTTTAATATGTATTCTGAGTCACAGTTCTTTAGTAAATAAACTTGGATGAAAATTTCTAATGATTAAAGGAGACATCATAAAGGTCGTTAACTAAAACAAGACTTAGTGCTCCCTTATCTTGGGCCAAAATTATCTGGAGATGGGTTGGTAGAAGCGAAGTTAGCAGAAGTTAAAATTTATACTCATTCACACATCCTTTCAAAATGATGACACATTAAAGATATAATATGTACCCAATTCTAGGCTAGATGCTGAGGCTATGGCAGAGAATACTATCAAACATTCCTATGATCTAAGGACTTCAAGTCTGTAACGTATCACTTTAGGAATTTTTTTTTTTCAAACTCATCAAATTGTACACACTAAACATGTGCAGTTTTTTTGTATACCAATTGTATTTCAATAAACCTGTTTTTTTTTTTAAAGGAAAAAAAGAAAAAAATCTTGTGGTTAGATACTTCTCTTCCGGTGTTAATAAGGATTTACACTGCCCAGGATTTATTACAGCTCATTTTGCATATGTGTGAAGAACAGTCATTATGGTGTGCATCAGTGTAAACATACCTCTTCAGGTTTTTAAATGAGTTAAGTGCCACCAAGTGGTTATGTTATAAATGGCACAGTGGTCCCCTTATCCTTGGGGGATATCTTCCAAGACTCCCAATGGATGCCTCAAACATGGATAGTACCCCTATATAATCATGTTTATATATCATGTTTTTCCCTATACTAACAGGCTGTTAGCACACACGAGGGACAAAGGGATGCATCCCACGTGGGACAGTGAAGGACAGAATGAGATTTTATCACACTATTCAGAACGGCACACAATTTAAAACTTACAGTTTATTTCTGGAATTTTCCATTTAATATTTCAGCCAGAGTTGACTGAAACCATGGAAAGTAAAACAGCAGGTAAGGGGGGAATACCGCACAGAATTACCAAAAAAAAAAAAATTTAAGACATTAAAAAGTGCACAGCCATTCATTCGTTCAAATATTTATTACTGAGAACTCACTGTGTGCTAGACATTGTGATAAATGCTGAATACACAGTGAACAAGAGACATGTGGTCCTTGTCCTCGTGAAACACTTAAAAACCACCTTATATACATCCATTTGGGAGAATTTTAACTTCATCTTTCTTCACAAAAAATTATTGCAGAATAAATTATATATATAGTCCCCAACGAGAAGGGGATGAACAAGGAACAAATTAAGACGAGATGCTCAAGAGACAATGGGCACACTGGTATGTATCAGTATGCTTGTAATCAGAGCACGGGGTCATTGGTTACCTCGTAAATCAGTGCCTTTAAGCAATTAGGAGTTCACGCTAGGAGTAAGAGATTTTTAATAGGAAATAACAGTAAATACAGTGATTCAGAAAGGTTCAGTTTAAGACAATTTACAGGAGAGACTGAAGGCGGCTAAAAACAAACAAGATCCACTGGGTTGCTATTCTAATGCTAGTATGAAATAATAAAGGGCAATAGATTAATGGAGCAGGACCCATTAAAAGCAGGATCACCCAAATATGCGAGTCAGTATTCTAGGAGTCAGGAATATAACTAAAAATAAAATCAGATTAAGAAGAATAAGGGGATGGTAATAACAACCATATAAAACAATTTTGAAAATTTAAGCTAAAATGCAGAAATTAAAAAAAAAATCTTACCAGAACTAAGTCAAGAAAAAATAAGTAGCCCAAATAAGTCTTTTAACTATTAAATTGAAGTGATAGTTAAAAATATACTCACAAAGAAAATACCAGGCACAGATGGCTTTATAGGCCAATTCTATCAAAATTTGAAGAAAGAGACGATCTAAATTTTAGATGGTCTAAATTGTCCAAATTCTTCAGGACAATAAGAAAAAGAGGAAATTCCAACTCAATTCATGAAGCAAGCACAACCCTAATACTAAAACTATTCAAAGCCATTACAAGAAAGGAAAATTAAGGCCATTTCATTCATAAATATAGATGTAGAAATTCTAAACACATATTACTGAATTAAATTCAACAGTGCATAAAAAGAGAATATGGGCTTACCTCAGATATGGAAGAATGACCAACTGGGCTTATCTCAGATATGGAAGAATGATTTAATATTAGAAAAATTCATAAACATAACTAACCATATTAACCTATTAAGAGGAAAAATAAACATGATCATCTCAATAGATGCAGAAAAGCATTTGAAAAAACTTAATCGTTCCATAATAAGGACACTTGCTAAATTATTAAAAGAATGTCCTTACCTGAACGTTAAGAAAAAACAATCTGAAATGGGAAATGGTAAAAAGCATTCCCTTTAAAATCACAACGATTTTACTGGAGGTCTTAACCAGTCAATAAGATAAGAAAAATAAATTAGAGACATAAGGATTCAAAATGAGGAGACAAAACTGCTTTGTTTGGCATAGTAATTTAGATAGAACCCCCCCCAAAACCAACAAATAACAGAGACAATAGAGGTTAGCAAGATGGCTAAATATAATATTAAGACATAAGAATGAATTACATTTTTTTATACCAGCAACAAACACCTAGAAAATGTAACTGAAGAAAAGATGATTTATAATTATAACAAAGAGATCAAGGAATTAAGATAAATCTAATAAAAGATGTAAAACCTCTAAAGAAAATTATGCAACATACAAAAGATAATAAAAGCATATCTAAAAATAAATAGATAAATAAAAGCAGATCTAAATAGAGATACATAATACGTTTATGACTTAGTATCATGAAGATATAAATTCTCCCCAAATTGATACATATATTCAATGCTATTCCAGTCAAAAGTCCAAAAGAATTTTTCATACAATTTGATAAGATGACGTTGAAATTTATATGAAGAACATAGGGTCAAGAATAGCAAGGATATTTTTGAAAAAGAGGAGGGAGAAGAGACATGACCTATTAGATATAAGAACTTATGAAGAAGTGAAAGGAATTAAGACAGTGTGGTATTGGCAGAGAGACAGACAAATTGATCAGCAGAGTCCAGAAAACACACACACACACACACACACACACACACACACACACACGGAACTATGGTACACAACAGAGGTGGCATGTCCGATAAATAGGGAAAATAATGGACGTTTAATAAATGAGGTTTGAAAAAAAGGGTGATCCACATGGAAAAAGATAAAACTGAACCTCTGCCTCATATAATATACCAAAATCCAACTCCCAATGAATTATGGACATAGATATCAAAAATTAAAATTTAAATGCATAGGTAAATATCTTTTCCAAATTCAGATAGATAACAATTGCTTAAACAAGACGCAAAAAAGCACTGGCTCTAAAATACAAAATTCG